TTTACAGTATCGGCCCCGATACCCGATACCAGTATCGGTATCGGTGCATCCCTAATGAGGACCTAGATGCTGTTCCTCTCCTGTACACTTAAACAGCTGAATGTTGAACAGTTTTCAAAGCTATAGTTATTCCATAAAAACACTCATGTGTACAGTAAACTTGTGTCACTTCCCGGGAGCAGAGCTCCTGGCAAACAAAGCCAAAAATTAATGAACTCAGAGACTGAGCCCGGCTCTTAATGAGGCCCTCCCAGCGGCTAATTACAGTAAGAAATAATAGGGAAGCACATGGACTCTGTTACACGGGAGGATTTTGTCAGAGATATGATGTAATATTTTGAGTCGAGGTGCATGACTCACAATAAAAAGGCAAACTGATATGATCTGGTCCCTCTGTGGCAGGCAACCTCAGCTGCTCTTTACTGCTTTGATTAAACCACTGCAATCACTCCACTCTGTACTGCCAAACAACAGATTGGAGCTGATGGAATATTGAAGAGTGTATGGAGCCAGGAGAGGAGCTTAAAGGATCCCGAACTTTAAGATGTATGAACTGACGTTTTTTGCTAACAGCAGAAACAACTTTCTAAAGCAGTAATATGCAAAAAGCCTCATTAGCCTGTTTCATGAGCTCTTAATATGCCTTCATATGATCTTAAAAACACTCTACACTAACATTCAGAATGGGGTTTCCTATTATGTTACAAGAATAGCAAAATAAACAAACTTTAGTCTTTTTTGGAGAGTTTTAAAATGTACTTAAAACAAAATGTACTCTGAAGTAGCTGAATAATGTTTCCCAATTTCCCAAATAGCTGAACATTGAAGCTTTCATGCAATGGTGTGTGCTCCCTTCATTCTTATTGGTGAAGCTGACAGATGAGAATGTGTGACGGATGTGTTCCTCAGACCTGAGATTATGATGCATTTTTCCTCATCATCAGTTTGGCGCTGGTGTTTTCCCCACTGTATTTAGTTTGTGTTCTTCTTTAAAGGGAGTAGCACACTCCAGTCACCCAGTTCTTAAAAGAAATGTAGTCGAGTTTCAGTATAAATAAATAGATTAATTGCTGTTTGCTCTGCAAAGTTGTCTTCATGTATGCAAGTATGATTCGTTAGCATTCTCCTAAGTAACACAATAGGATGTGGGGTACTGAAAATATGTATGCCTACATATATACACTGTAAAAAACAAATTGTAATATAAAAGTATTTGCTGTGTATTTTACAGTTTTGTACTGTTCTTCTAGAATATCATTAAATT